TATTGAACTTCAAAAATATGCAAAAATCATGAAAATACCCTTTCTCGTGGTATTTTTATGCGAAATGATCTTTCAAAATCTACACCGTGGAAAAATGAATCAGCAATTATTAATCTCAACGATAAAACTGGACCTGGAATACATTGGGTGGCATATAAAAAACGAGGTAATAAAGTTATATTATGACAGTTTTGGCGATTTGCAGCTACCACATGAGCTTATGAAATATATTAATGTTGATAAAATACTTTACAATCATGAAAAACATCAAGTTTACAGTACAGATAATTGCGGACACACGGGGAGATTTACAAAATCTAACGGAAACGTCAAAAAAATTATTTAGATAATGCAGGTTGGGTAACTGATAATGAAAGATTGTTTAATGATAATGGATACTTTGATGTTCCGATACCGTTACATATGCTATTGAGATTTGCTGAAGATTACCATCACATAATTGTCAATGCCAAATATGAATTAATACTCACTCGTTCAAATACCGATCTTAATGCAGTTGTACAAGCTGCAGCGGAACCTGAAGAGACGATCACGCTTATAAAAATTAAGTGGATAATTCCTCATGTCACTGTTGCAGATATAAAAAAATCAGAATTGTTAAGGTACATTGCAAAAGACCCACCGATTCCAGTGAGCTTCAGATCATGGGAATTATATGAATATCCAATACTGCCAGACACAACCAAACACGTATGGGTCGTAAAAACATCAACTCTGTTGGAAAAGCCCCGCTATGTTATATTAGGATTTCAAACTGCATGCAAAAATGATGCTACGGAAGATGCAAGTCATTTCGATCATTGTGATTTAAGGGATGTAAAACGTTTCCTCAATTCACAATACTATCCATATGGCAACATGAATCTTGACATAAGTCACAATCAATTTGCCTTATTATATGATATGTTTAGAGATTTTCGAACGTCATATCATGATAAAGAAGCAGAACCTCTACTCACGGAAAAAAAATTTATAGATATAGCACACAAAAAATCGGTATTATTATTGAAGATAATTTATCGAGGTCGGTAAAAAAAAATTCACAATCAATCGCGACTGATATTATTACGGTCGGTAACTTATCGTCAAAGTTGTCGCGGTCGGTAATCAGTGCGGATCAGAACCTACTTTTTGACTCGGCCGGTATCGCAGAGTAATCCAGAACCAGTCCTACTCATCTACTATTCAATATATTCAACAGTGAAATCATCAACTTATTTGGTCCTAATTTTATAGAGAGACTTCACTCCATTGCCTACGCTGACGATCTTGCGGTGTATTATGCTGATCATAGTGTTGAGAACATCCAGAGCAATCTTCAAGAGGTAGTCAACAATATAAACTCGCACTATAAAGAATGAAACCTTAAAATCAATCCAATGAAGAGTGAGCTGATCATTTTTAGACAACCTATTAAAAGAATCAATTATTCCACTGTCACTAAAATTAAAAATACTAGAATTACTGCAATAGACATCCACACTAATACTCTACATGATAGTCCATCGAAAACAATAGTGAAATACCTAGGCTATCATATGGACTACCTCTTCGTTCTCAATGGAGACCATAAAATCCAGCTGAAGAAGGCTGACAGAGCTTTCAAAAACAATAGAAGACTTTTCTACAGTAGTAACTTGGAAAGGAGAGCGAAAGTAATTTGCTACATGCTACTGATCCGACCCATAATTACCTCTGCTGCACCGGTTTCCTGGAACATGGCACACACCGACATGGAAAAGCTCAGGCGTTTTGAAAGAGCGTGCCTCAGGACATGTCTCAAAGCCCATCGGACTAAGAGCTCGGAATACATCAAAAGAACGAGCAATAGATTTATATATAACAAAGCTGACATTCCAAGATTGGATTCATTTATTCTTAGACTCACTAGGAACGACGTTGGGCACCTGGGGAAATTAAAGAATAAGCTGATGAAAGGAGTTACTACTCCAGACAGCAATATCATCTACGATCAATTAGAATCTGGTCTAATCCAAAATAGTAAAAATCTCCCAGTTATTTATCATCTTAAAAGGCATGCAGCGAATAAAAGCATCTGCACCAATCCAGAACTAGCAAATGTTAGCTTGTGTTTCTCAACATCGCTACTAGATAGAGACATTAGTGATACTTAAAGAGCGTCTCCAAGCTATGATTGGTTTGGGCTAAAGGAGGCAGCTTCTACCACAGGCACTGTACCAGAGTTACTGATTGATCCGTGTAGACCTAGGTTCTGTATATATGTAAATACTCCCACATCCTACCCCTTCTCCTTCCTTTCCCCTTATCTATTAAGTTCTTTTTACATAAAGTTCTGATAATGTTTAAGAGTTTATTACTAGTCAGTATTTTATCTACTGATTATTATTCAGTGTTAGTAACGGTGTCTGAATAGTCGAAAGTTAAAACAGTTATGGATCGAATTATTATATTTGTTGTTTTGCAAATACATAGTGTTTATTACAGAGTTCTATTATAGTGATAGCTAGTAATATATATATTTTGAAAGTTGAGTACTTTTGTAAGTAAGTTTTTGCAAAAAATTATGCGAAACTCCCCGCAGACTGTTTCGAGTACTTCTGAATATTTTTCAATTGTTTAAAAAAAAACTACGTTCATAAAACTGTATTTAAAAAAATGTTTATAACCCTTTTTAGAGGTTTTTCGACTCGGCGTCAAACAATTAAATAAATAAATTGAAAAAAAAAAAATCAAATCGTTGTAAATAATTACTTTTGGCATGTTAATATTATAAATATCAGTGTGCTGCACTGGTCTGTGCGCGACCCGAACATTCCACACGACCAACTTCCCAGTGGAAAAAATGAAAAAACACCCCGAGTCGAACCCGTTTCCATTCTTTATAACAAATGAAATTGTTATAAACGAAATGAGTCTGTTTTCATTTATTTGACACAGTCAGTTACTTTATTTTAGTAAAAGAAAAAATCATACGTTAAAAGTACACATATATATAGAATGAATTCCTATTTTTATTGTTTATTACAATTTAAAACTTATTATTTAAATATTACTATTTTCAATAATCACTTGTTAGTAATAATGTTTAATTGTTATAAACACAATTCCATATTATTGACTATTATAGCGTCTTTAATGCTGTTTTCTCAATCTTGACACGAGTTTAAAATTCTTTCATTGCAGATTTTGTTTTTAAAAATTTTTTTTTTCAACGAAATACCGTCATCATATTTTCATACAAGTATTCCAATTATTCGATATACATATATTTTTCATGATTTCATAATTTTGTCTAAAAAATGGTACAATTTATAAATTAAGAAATTCAGGTTATTTTCCATTTTTGCTAGTTTTTTGGTTCTGCAAAAAAAATGGCTGGACCGATTTTCCTGAAAACTTTTTCAGTTTTAAGTTACGTAATTACGCGTCGAATGCAATTGGTCCCACATCGATATCCTTTTTTGTTCTCGAGATAATCGAGGCGAAAAATAATTTCGAACGCACATGCGTACATACGCACATGCGTTCATACACACACACAGACGTCCACTGAAAAACGATCGTATTTGACTCTGGGGACCTTAAAACGTGGAGATATGTCAAAATTCGGGATTCGCAAAATAGAAGTCCAGCGCTCTGACCGCAGAGCTATCGTGTTTATAATCTAGCTATTTATGCTTGTAAATGATAAGCTGCAGGCTTGGGCACAGAGAGTGGAGGTAAAGGTTGCCCGTGAAGTGCCGGAACTCGCTCCGAATTGTTTAAACTATTTTTTATTGCTAATAAATTGTTAAAAAAGGCTATTATCAATGTATTTGTACAAAAAAAGATTAATGACCCTGTTCAAATATTTTCTCATTTGTCATCGATTAATTCAAAAATAATTTTAGGCTATACAATTATTAAGCACTTGATAAATACGCATACTAAAATATTTTTTAGCAACATCCACTCATCGATATCGAAATTTTGCATCTCGAAACCGATTTCTGTCAATGTCTATGTCGAGGGGAAATTTTTCATCATAAATTGATAGTTCTTAAGCATTTTGGATTCGTTTCCTTTGAACAAATTTACTTAAATATTTTTTGTCAATAAGTCATAGAAAGTCATGTTACTGAAACTAATATTTTCCATTATTATCTTCTCGATTTCTATTGCACATTCTACTTCTAGCTGTAGTATGTTAATTGATCAATCTATATAATAACAGTCATCTAGATCAGAAAATGGACCATAATTGCTCCTTTCAATCTGAGATTGATAGACTTTATCATAATTTCGTCTATTTACGTGTAATCCTGCGTCCTTCAATTTGATTATTTGTATTCTCAAAGCTTGTTGTGTTTTTACAGTTGTTTATGTCTCTCATCTCATCCTCCAGAATTGTAATCACTTACGTCAGAATTACCTGAGTAGGTTTCTCCACGTTCAACATATTCGGAATACTTAGTGAGTTTGGTTCGCATCAAATCTATGATTTCCAATGCAATTTCAAGGGCAGTTTTTTCGCTTCTATCTACAATATTAACATTAGCGCCATATTTTATTAAAACTGTAGTATGATCAAGAAATTCCTTTTATACCGCAGTATGAAAAGGTGCATTTCCCTCTATTTTGATAGAAGTAAAGTTAATTTGGGTGCGAGCAAGACGTTTAATGAGTTCCAAGTTAAAATTTTCAACAGCTACATGAATTAATGACTTTTTGTTGATACAATGAACATTGACTTTATGTTTTAATAATGTTTCCATTATTCGAAAACTTGAGTTGTGATAGCTTCTGATTGCAGTAATATAAAGAGTATTCAACTTTTCTGAATCAGTAGGATGAATATTATGAATTAGCATTATTATGTATTAGATACTTGACTGCTTCAGGATTGCCAGAATCGCAAGCTGAAAGAAATGGAGTTCGACCTGCTGCATCTATAGCATCAATTTTCGCATTATTTTATCGCAACAATTCTATTTTTTTAGTCACGTCTGTACATGAGACTAAACGAAAATTGAATTTATTGTCATGGGGCTCACGAATAATGTAAAAAGATGTTTTCCTTGTTTATTTGTAGCTTTTGGATTACCGCCTTCTCGGAGCAAAGTTTCTATAAAATCGATTCTAATATTTGCTATGGCCATATGAAGTAGAATATTACCATCTGAATTAATGTAATGAACATCGCCATGATTACGTAATAATAATCGAGCTATATCGTGATGATCATTTTCCATTTCATCGAAAAAAAGTGAACTGTTTGGAATGTGAACATAGATGGCTGCTCCTCGGTTGAAAAGCATTTCAGCTTTTTTATATCTAGATTTATCAGAACTAGAAGAAACACAGTGATGTGGAAGAGTTTTTCCCTCGGAATTAACGTCAAGCACTTTAACACCGTGTTCCAGAAATATACTGACAATTTCTTGTTTATTTTTTCGTACAGCAAGAACAGTAATCTTTAAGAACTTCGGATCATCTGCTATTTGTATTCCATATGTCAATGAAATTTTCACCATCATTGGATCATCATTATAAACTGCGATATGTAAGCATGTTTATCCTAATAAATTATCAGAAATGTTTATGAAAACAAGCCGTTTGCAAAAGATCAAGTCCCGATTCTGGATCTATCAAATAAACATTAATTCCTCGTTCTAAAATCTGCAAAACAATTGACTAATGATCGTGTTTTACAGCTGAAGAAATATATTTGCTGTCGAGTTCAGTATTTGGATCCATGGTGAAATTCCATCTTAACAATAACTCAATACAATCTTTATAAGTTTCATAGCCACACCCTTTCACTAAATCACTCGGTATAAATCTTTCAGATGGTTCTAAAGTTGGACAGTGACGTATTAACTGCTCAATTATTTTTGTCAGTTCTTTAAAAATAGCGACTTAATGAGGTTTTTTTAAATTGACTAATGAGTTATACTTCAATATATAATCAATTATAATCTCAACTATTCCGTCACTTCGATTTTCAATGGCTTTGATCAGTAATCCACATAAACCTTCTCTCTCAAGGGCCCCTTTTTCTATTATTAACAAAGCAGCTTCCGTTTTTCTGAGTAGGATTGCAATGTCGAGTGGCGTTTGACCACTATGATTTTTAGCATGAATTTTTGTTCCTCTATCAAGTAGCATGGTTATAATATCTAAGTCGTCAACATTTTGTGATATCAAGTTCATAGCTGTCTGTCTATCTCTTCGTCTGATTGCCTCACGAAGCCGAATGTAATTACTGTCCAGTGTTAATAATATGTAGCATTCTTTCGATAAATTTTGCACTGCTTCGCACGATTTTCAAATTTGCGATTCGCATATTTTGCAAAAAAGAAACCTCGCATTACTAAATACTAGTCAATCACCTTTGAAGTTACTTCATGTTTATGAGATTCACAGCCAACATGTGGTAAATTTTGTTTTCTTGCTTCTTTTAGTATGTTGTGAAGAGTGTCTATTTGAACTTTCGATGTTCCAACTATCTTAAGAACAGATTTTTCTGATGTTCTTGTTAGTTCAAATAATTTTATAGATGGATAAAAAAGGCCATCATAAAAATCTCTGAGCCGAATCGATTCATTACATTCATCGTTCCGTTGCTTGTAAAGTAATTTACAATCTTCGCACCTTAATAAAATTTGCATTTTTTTAGTAATGTAACCAGCAATGAATGCTTGAACTTCATCGCTTGTATTAGAAATACAGTTGACAAAAGCTGAGGGCCAGAAACGTTACAATCTTTCGGTGGACGAACTAAGGAGAAACACGATACGAGTCTGAATACTTGACCAAATAATTTTGGATCGGGGTTATCATTGGATCCACAAGAATTCCGCATAATAGAAAAAAATTTATGTAATGAATCAAATAAAGATATGTTATAATATTCTTATAATAATAATATGCACCTCGTAATTATAATTATAAATTTTATATTTATAATAATAATATTTTAATTTTACAACTACGAACATCATACAAATAATAATATGATCCAAACTTATATTTACCTTCAGGGGATCTTGACTGAGACGAAATGACATGAGATAATCGTACTCAAAATTATCATGCAAATAATCAACCAGTTGTATCGTCCCTTTGAGTGTTACTTTAAAACCAAGTATTGTCGAAAATGATATTGGTATTTTCACATCAACGGTGTTCATTTGATTTTCCCATTGCTGTAGGAAAACAAGGAAAAAAGTTCACTTCGATTCAGCACAAGTTATGCAGTTATTTTAACAAAGTAATTGTGAGTAGGTTTTGATAAAAAGCGGAGTCCAAGCAGTGAAATTAAAGAGATGTTAAAAAAATGATATTTTTTACTACCTAAAAAAAAAACCGGATAAATGTTAATGATAAAACAATGTTAAAATATCATTCTGTTGAGAATCAATTAATTCTCAGTTTGAATCTGCCAGCTGACAGGAACTTCGGGAGCCATCTTGCGACTAGGTCGATAACCAATCTACCAAATAATCAATATTCCAGTGTCCTTTTTGACTTATGAAATTCCTGTCGCCATTCTTTTACTGTTCCCGTTTACGTGTATACGCCATTCAAATTCTTTCCTAAAAAATCTTAAAGTTTTGAGTCAATCATAAGTGCTAGTGCTACTCTGAATCACCAGAAATATTCAAGCTTCATTCTACAATCAAAATCAACTAACATTTTAAGACATTTCATAGTAAATTGAAGAAATTAAATTAAATTCATTTTGCATTACGTGCACAATCATATTCTTCATCAACTTGAGAAGTGTGCTGAGCTCGTGTGGGAGGTCAATAATACCGAACACACCAAGTTGAGTATTTTTTAGACATTCAGTTCAAATTCAGTAATTAAAATTGACATTCAGTAATCTCTGAAGACAGTCATCCTTTTTATTCAGTGACAAAAAAGTTGTACAGTGTATATTGTGTACCTGTTTGTGCTGAAAATAAAGATTATATATTTTTTATAAAACCTGACTTCTTAATTGCTCCAAGCACAATCATTCCTATCCTTAAACGGTTAGGTTATATAACGTTGAGATTTTCTCAACAAATCCATTTATCTTATCAACATCATTTGTTTTTATTAATAATTTCACTTATTATTCTAATTTTTTTATTCACTTCGATTGATTATTACAATGAACAATAACTGTCATTTTATATTCCAATTCATTATTCCAGTGTTTAATCTCACACGTGTGTCACTAATTATAGTTAGACTGTCTACGCGAGAGCCTTAACTTCGATTTTCTCACTAAACTCGATTTGAAATCGCATTCAGTAAGGCCTTAATTGCAATTAAGCAACTGATGTTAAGGCTATTTACGCGCACTAACATCGATGTCAACATCAATGTTAAGGAGCCTAACTTCGACGTTAGACTGCGTGTAAACATAGCAACAGTCAACTAATAAAAATTAAATTCATAAGATAAACCAAAACTTAATATTTGCCAATAGGTGATTTAGTCAAGACATGTTTTGAATAAACATGTCTTGACTAAATCACTCTCCAGATATTTCCTGATGAATATTTATTCAATAGTCATACTCAAAAATTCAAGATAAAACAAACAGGAATAAACATTTTCTTTCAAACTATAATGATAAGCAAAACTTTTTTAATTAATATAGAATAGTCTTTGTCAGTGCAGAAATGGGGACAACAACGTAGTGTCCCTCCCTCTAATTCGTAAGTCTAGCTTAAGTCCTTTGTATGAAAAAAAAATGATAAAAGAGAGATTTGACTAAGGAATAATTTGTACAGTCAAACTCCCGCACTTCTGACTCTGCATTCAAATAGATCACATTGATTTTATTGAATAATATTCAATCATTTAAAAATCCAGTCTTTTTCTCTCAAAACCTCGACCAACGAACTCATACCGAGTCCAGAAGGTGACACTACTGTCATTTGCTTAACCTGGACGATACACCATACATTGTTTTTTGGTTAAAACATTTGATATGAGTAAATTGATTTATCGACTTTTTGCAACGAACATTTTACATGTTAATTACTTGTACAATAAACATTATTGTAATATCAATTTATTTTAAAATAAAACTTTTTTTTTCATTTGATAACAATTATCAATATTCATTCTTCAGGCACAAGCAGTGTCGTACCTGTTAGGATCAGTGCATAGCACCTGCTCAGATAAAAATCTAGAAGACAATATTAATTAAAATAAAACTTTCATCGAATTTAAATCTTATTACAAAATTAATATTTTAATATTAGGATCACCATTTAGTTCCTGTGCTGAAAATAACTTTTGAGGTAATATAATGAAACTTAGATAAACTCGATCCTGGAACCCTTGTAACGAAAGAAATTAAGATGCTTTTGTTATGTCTTAACGTACAATCAATTTATTGAATTAATTGCAATAAAAAGCACAAACATAGAATTCTCCGTTTTTGCCCTAGCTTTGCAGCCAATAGACGGAGAAGGAGTACAGAGATCTTTGATTGTAAAAATTGATTAAACCAGTGATTAAATTTTGAAGTGACTTTTTGAAGTCGTACATTAAAAAGCAGTTTTAATAAAACAAAATAAACATTTTTGAATAAAATTATAATACCTTGAATTAATAGCAAGTAAATCCACATAATGTACAATTAGAGATGATGAACCCAATAGTCAATTAATTCGCAATTCAACGCTAAGTAAATAATTAGCAGGTTGAGAGAAATTTTTTTTCAATTTAAAGAATATCACAAAATAATCAAACACAAGAAATATTTTAATAATGAGAAAATAATTACTAAAACAATTTAATGTGGAGAAATAATTGTTAATTACTTCTCAAAATTAATAAAAACAGACGGACGTCACACTGTTTATGAACTACCTATTTGGGTAACTGCGGCTATTTATTGTTATTTCATCCTTCACAAGAACGATAACTCATTCACTTCACAGACATGAATACTCTTAATCTGTTAGCCTCTGTATAGATATGTCATGTCTATTCAGATCGTTTTAGATCTGAAATGTTAATCCGATTATATGTGTAAAAATAATTGTAAGGATAATCACAAAATTCAAGTATTTTAATAAAAAAAAAATTTATCATTCTTTTTCCTGTAAGATATACATTATAAAACCGTATCGTTTAAAAATAAATCAAAAGAATACATTTTTAAATAAGAAATTCTTATGTTGTAATTTTTCATATGTCGCAAGCATCAACAAGAAAAAAAAATTTACAAATTATAAAATTTGAATTTCGGAAAATTTCAATTATGAGATATCGTTTAAACAAAACTATCATGCTCACCAAGAGAATGGAAAGCTTGATTTTTATTCAAAATTCAGATAGTACGACTAGCACATCTCAGAAACTGTGGTACTGTTAATTTTTTGTTTTTACAATAATCCCAAATTTTTGCAATTAAATTTCTTTGGGCAGCATCCATAGTATGCTGCCTGATACGTATGAATTTTCCATTAAATAATGACATCAATTCAATTCTAGTTATTTCTTGAATTGTTAATAATCCCTC